GTTAGGGGTGATGAGACAGGCAGGCAAGTGGTTAGGGGCAATCAGGTAGGCAGGCGAGTGGTTAGGAGCCAGGTATCCTAGATTACGAGTCTGACTGCCAGTTAAACAATAATAATAAAAGTATAATATGCTAAACTGGCAGTCAGACATCCCCCGAGGGGTCCCAGATTGCAAGAGGGTGCAGGCCGGGCTGAGGGACCCCTAACACCTCCCCCCCCCACTTCATCGCGTGCATGAATTTCGTGCACTGGGCCTCTAGTTAATAGAAAATAATACAAAAATAAGCTTTGTGTTTTACATATGCACAGCTGTAAACCTACCTGCTTTTGCCCCACCCTGTATATAGAGTCTGAAGTTGTTTTTGTCATGCATGTACTGAAAAATGGAATTGAGTCATAATGTCTTTTTTTCCCTTCTTTTCCACCTAAACTCTTGTCTCCCATTGTCTTTGTTTCTTAACACAATATTTTAATTTCCTTTATCTTGTATGCTAACTTGTGCTTATTGTATATCATTGTTAATTTTGAACTGCGAGAACAGAAAACATTACAGCTGTATTGTGAACAAAATCTTAATTACATCCTGTATTTGCAGTAATGGAAGAAAACAGGAAAAAGTAAAATCAAGAAGGTCCTTTGAGAAACTGGCAGATTTTCTGTTATGTTATAAAGTGTCGTCGAGTTCTAGACACAGGTTAAAGTTTGTAGAGTGCAGATGATGCCTAATGTTTTTGTGTGATTGTGGGGTTTTGATTCAAAGTCAAATGCAGTAACTTCAAAGATTTTGTTGTACGTCTTTCCTTGGTATGCGTCCGTTAGTAAGCCTTATTAAGAAGTGATGGTGAACAGTAAGTCCTAACAATGTTGTAAAAACATGGATTTTAATATCATGGTAAGAAATGGAGTAGGATGTAAAGCTGACACTATATTACAGACCAATTTCAAGTAATGTGATTGTTTGTAATATAATATTTATATCGATCTGATTTGGCTTTTAGATGAAAAGAATGAGTATCTTTCTTGCCAAAGTGAGGGGGAAGAATAATATGTTTTCTGATGTTTTCATGCAGTGATCTCGGAATAGCCTTGAGAAACATAATGTCTAGTTCCTAATTATTGTTGAGAAATGAAAGCTCAATATTAATTATGCTAAAGTCGTAAATTGTTTTTGATAAGAATTCTCAAACATTTGGATGTTTAAATATGCCATCTAACAGATCAATTGGTTCATTACCTAGGGGTACATTTTGTAGTTACTTCACTCTGGTGAGCCAAGCTGCTCAAAGCTGGAGGTTTTACCCAAGGAGCAATGAGTGAGCCTTTGTAGGTCAGCATTGATTAGAAGCTGTATGTCCGCCTTCCTTTAGGAGGGGCGGTCCTTTTTCAGCCGGCAGTTCCTCCGGCTTTGAACAGAGCCCAAGGAGCTCGCTCTCTCAGAGACCCCCCGGCCCCGTGTGGCTCACTCCGGCCCACACGGCCAGTCCACTGAGGGCCCCTGTCAGGCTTCTTGACGTCTAACACAAACGGAAACTTTCCCACCACAGTCACGGTTCTCTCTTCGGTCGGCAGCCGGAAGCATCAGCAGCCTGCCTTTCCCTCAGTGAGGTTTGATTTGGCTGCTGAGCCCACGCTCATCCCAAGACCAGGTGGAGGAAAGGAAGCCCATAGGCTTATCTGAGTCAGTCTCTACCAGCCGAGCTTCCACAGGATGGCAGTTACCATCATGGGAAACTGTGTTAACTAAGACATACAAGTTTCTTTAATGCAGAGCTTTTTAGAACTTCTAGGGGGCTAAACGTAGTATTTTGAATCTCCCAGCAGGGTCTTTATTATGTTGTGGTTTTCAATCTTATTTGACAATGGAGCCATAATTTTTTAGGGATCTTACACATGTTGGCAATTGCTAATTGCTGCTCCAGGACTAGCCCCCTGCACAATAGAAACATTTCCCCCGCTGGGTTATGTTTTAATATGATGCCTGTCAGTGAGGACTGACATGAGAAGTGGCGGTAGGAAAGGCCATTGTAGTTGTAAACTATTGTTGCAGACATGGTCCAGTATGTTGATTAGCTCTCTCAGAATGAGTTCCTCCTGTGACTTACTACTTGGGTTTTTACTGCTTGGAACTATGCGTTTTTCTTTTCTGTCAAGTGAGAATTAGATAAGCTTTTATGCTTTTTCCCCCTTCCTTGCCTGTAAGGCAACTCAAATAAATGTGGCTCACAGCACAGTAATTATTTAGCGCTCATGCTTAGCATACTAAGGATTTTTATTCTCCCCTTTCATGTTTATGTAGCTCATTAGTTAGATCCCTGCTGTCGAGCTTCACTTTCCTCATCTATAATATAAGGACCTACCTTTTGGATTATTGTGAAAATAAAATCTTTTTTAATTGCTTGGTCATGTGTGTGGCACACTGTGGAATATGAAGTAAATGCTATAGTACTTTTTTCGTAATTTTAACATTTTTTTGTTTCCAGTTTCACAACCTTATTTTATATACATCTTTACTTTGAAGCAGCTCAGTCTTGTTTAGAAGTGAGAAGTATACATACTGAGAAAAAAGATTGCAAGCATCCAATTAAGAGCATTGCTATAGTGCAGGGATGGCGAACCTATGACACGCATGTCAGAGGTGACACGTGAACTCATTTTTTTTGGTTGATTTTTCTTTGTTAAATGGCATTTACATATATAAAATAAATATCAAAAATATAAATCTTTGTTTTACTATGGTTGCAAATATCAAAAAATTTCTCTATGTGACACGGCACCAGAGTTAAGTTAGGGTTTTTCAAAATGCTGACACGCCGAGCTCAAAAGGTTCGCCATCACTGCTATAGTGGGTATGAAGGAATGAAGTGAGGTAACCCTGAGTAGAGTTGATGACAGAAGTGATGTGCCCCTTGTAAATGATGTCTCCAGGATTGGGGTTATGAGGAAGTAGCAGTAGACACGGCTTCCCTCAACAACTTGATAGGGGTAGCCTTTCTGAGCAAAATGCTGGTTTGAACTTGAATCAGAGTCAGTTTCAAAGTAGCTGCAGCTTTTGTGAAATTTTCGGTTGTGTTGCATGTTTGTGCTGCAAGTGGAAAAGAGAGAGCTCCTTCTAGGAGATTTTTAGGCCCAGAAGCTGGGAAGCAGACTTACAATTTCTGAAATAAGAAGTGTTGTGAGCATCGGGCATGTCAGTGATGGGACTTCCAACTGTCGTTGGGAAAATAGAACATACTGGACATTTGGTCTAGCTGTCTCTCCTCCATCAGGGCTAAATATTAGGTAGCCTGGCATTTCATTCCATGGGGATGTAATCCACGAGGGGAGCCATGGCATTTCTGACCCAAGACTCAGAGAGAGAATGCCCTTCCCTTTAGCCCTCTCGTCCCGAGTGTTGCAGGATTGGTGACTGGCTCACTGGTCTTTTCTCTTCAGCCACCCCAGCAGGTGGCTAGGATCCTGGGTTCAGTGACCTTCTAATTTATCACCCACACTACATTCTCTGAAGGAAAAGGGGCACTATTAATCAGGACAACATAAATAAGACATTCCTGGGCAAACAGGACATTTGGTCATTTTAGCTAACAACCCCTTTTCTGTGTTATCTTAAAAAACACAGAGGTTTTATATTTTTTGTGATGTTAGCTTTCCTGATATGTCTGTGCTCACTATAGTAGCAGAAAATGCAGAAGACTATCTGCTCTGTTTTGATTTTCCCGAACCATGTGTTTTGTTTTCTAATGTGGAGTGTATTTTCTTTTTACCGTATTTGCCGGCGTATAAGACGACTGGGCGTATAAGATGACCCCCTAACATTTCCACTCAAAATACAGAGTTGGTTATATACTCGCCGTATAAGACTACCCCCTCTTCCGCACACCTTCCACACACCAAATAAAAGGTAAAACAATATCAGATTTGATTTTAACATTTTAATTTATATTCAAATGCTTATGACATGCAGGAAAACTGTCACAAGGCTGTATGTAATCAAACATATACATAAAACAGTGCAAGTTTATTACCGGTAAACATACCGGTAATTCACTAAAGAAAACACACTCTATAGACTGGTACCGTAGATGCTTCTCAGGAACACAGGCAAGCAGCCCACAACCTAGAGGGACTGTCAATGATAGAAGTAAGATAACAAATAGAGGTAGAGAGCAAGTGCCGGGCAAGTCCCTAGCAA